GTTAGTCATGTTTATAAATCTCCGTAAAACAATAAGCATGTGTGGTTTGTCTGAAACGTGCGCTTAACTTATTAGCACAATACATTTTGAACATTCTAGCCACTCTTTCACTTGTCATATACATTTATACGGAACATAAAAAGGGGAAATGGATTATATTCCTGTTGTTCCATCGAAACTATTTAGTAGATTCAACGCTTCTAAATTAAATAAGCTTTACTAAAGCCTTTAGAATGCAATATCTGGTATATGATGTTCATCTACAAAAATAGACCATGAATTATTATTCCTTAATTCAGTAATCAAATGTAATCTTGCTTACATCTTGTCTTCCGCTAAATCCTATGAGTTAGTTCTGATTTAAGTTATTTCGACATTTTTCAAGTGTTTGTTTCCTAGTGTTATTTACCAATTGTTCAGCGAATCTCTTTCAAAACTTCGATTTTTTAAGCCTAATTGAATTCCTTACAAATCTAAGATTATTCACGTAATCATAACTCTGCATAGCAATGGGAAATTACAAGTATCGAACAGCAACCGTTACCATTTGTGCAAGAGGTATCTCTCATATCCAAGTAGTCTAGTAGATGATGCTTTGGCATTTGAAGCGATGAGCACACAGTTCGAGTCTCAGAGGGGGCAATATCACTTACTGAGGTGCAGATACACCCAGATGATGAGTCCCAAATAAGAAGAAAACCCGCGTTCTGGATTCCACTGCAAGTTATCAGGATAAATACAACGTAAGTTAACAGTTAACTAAAATACAAAATTCTTTTTTCTACTCACCCTATCTAATCACATCTATACTGGTCCTAATACATTTTGGAGCCCCTTTTTGCTCTTCCATTGCACTTGTAGTATGTTGGGTAGTTAAAAATGCATATCAGTTTTTTACAATTAATTTTAGGTGGTAAACAGCTAATGAACTTCAGTGAAATGAACTTCATTTTATACTTTAAACCTATTTCATTTGCATTTTCTTGAAAGTTGTCTAGGCAACAAATTGTATGAAATGTTTAAATTTACATCACCTGTTATTGGTTTCTACCACTCGTAACTCTCATGAAAGTGTAGAATAATTCTATACTGCTTGTATAATTCACAATTTTGGTTTGTCGTTTATCAAAATATTTATTTTTGAGATGAGTGGGGATTTTTAATTTAGGAGTAGTAATTCATCATGGACTGACATTCATGGGGAACCGTTGAAAATCTGGGAGCACTGGACAGCTGTTTCGTCCAACTAGTATGGGACTCCTCAGCAGTACGTGTTCGCCGTGAAACCTGAAGGTCCTGAGTTCGATCCGTAGCCGGGTCGTGGGTGCGTACTGCTAAGGAGTCCAATAATAGGACAAAACAGCTGTCCAGTGCTCCCAGATTTTCAATGGTTCCCCAATTGATGTCAGTCCATGATGTATACTACTTATACATCGAAATATTTGTTTACCTATTATAGTTTTTACAAATAAATAGGCTGTATGCCCTTTTGAACACTTTTCTGTCTGATAGCGTTATTAAATATATTTTCTGTATCATTTGATGTTTTCCTGAACTCGATTAAAGTACGCATATATTTTTTAAGGTTATAAGAAACTAAAAACTGTTTGTATAATCTTTCACCTTTTCTCCCGATTTATTTTATACTGAAATTAGATAAAGTAATGAAACATATAAGGAGTGTTTAGGGAATATACGAATAGATGTCAAAATACCGTCCACAGGGATGGCTCGTTATTCTAGAACCAGGTAAAATATGAATGTATTCTACACATAATTTTAAGTGTTTATGAGGTCAGCTTCTGTTTTTCTTGTTGATTTACCTGCGAACATTTCGCCTACAAAGAATTACATAACGGCCCGCGTCCAACATTAACTTATTCGTGAGTGTTTCGGTGTCGGTATCTGTGCTATATGTTAAAAAAATTCTGATGGAAGAAATCTCTTTTATTAATGATAGATAGTGGCTAGCGGGAGAATTTAGGACGCGCGTTTCGTCCTATTCCATAATCGTCAACTGGATCTACCTGCCTTCCAGTCACCGATGTTCTTTCCACTAGGACTCTAACTCAGGGCAGATGGCCTCAAAAGCCAGAGTGTTATTCACTACACAATCGAGTAATGACATCCACTTCTTGTGCTATGGATAAAATCACATTGTTGTTGTTGGAGTTATCCCACGGTTGAATGGACACAATTGATCAGCCTCTATCAGCATATGGGGTTCTGCGAGGATGCCACAATATTACTTTTTGAGTTAAAGATTAATGATAGTGGATAACGTTCTGGCATATGATGCAATCGGTCCCGAGTTCGAGTCCAAGTGGGAACAATATCTCTCACTAGGAGGCAGGTACATCCGTCTCCTCTGTAGTTCATGAATTAATGTGAAGTTTTCATCCAAAGGTTTAGTTGACATCTTGACTAACTTGGTTTTGTTACTACTTGTCTCCTCATATGCATTCCACAACTTTTAAAATGTACCTCACATGAATTTGTATATGTGGTTAAACATCTTCAAGTTACTACTTTCAGGGCCTGTTAGTAGTGAGTAGTAGAGAGTGATATTTGGCAAGTTTAGTGAACCACTCCTTCTCTTTACTCGTAGGTAAGCTCTTCCGAATTGGACTGGTACTCATTATTCGATAGTCTGTGGATCTGAGTAGTTCACTGAATACGCTGAAAAAAGGGTTTCTTTCGTTTCCTGGCTGTTATCAAAAATTGTTGATTTACAGAACTAACAGCACCCTTACTAACTTTCTATTGATCCACTATCATGTTATTTCTAGCCTCAGCTATATAAAATGTTAAAAACTGCTATGATTATTATCTGTCTGACGACCTATTTGTAGTTTATTGGGAAGCTTTGCAAGCAAACAGAGGTATACCTATGGGATCGCCAATATCAGGATTGATTGTTGAAGCTATCATGCAGTGGCTGGAATCAGTAGTCACCTTTCTCACCAAGCCAAAACTTTGAATTAGGTACCTTGGCAACACATTCATAATTCTCAAGGAAGGTGAGATAGAAAACACTTTCAAACTATTCAACAAACGTTTGATAGAATTCACCTCACAAAGGAGGAGAAATCTAAAAACAAATTCCATTCTTAGATGCCATAATCAGCACAACATACAATGGAACTTTTCAAACTCAAGTGTACAGAAACATCCCACACACAGATCAAATTTTGAACTACATTTGTAATCATCCTGTAGTCCATAAAACATACTATGCAAAAACATTATTCTCAAAAGCTAAATCACATTGGAGCTCTCAAGTACTATAGAAAGCCGAAACAAGAAACCTGTACAAACTGTTCTAAGTCGATGATTATCCACCCAACTTTATCAAAAAGTGTCTATCAGCAGGACAGAAGATAGAACAGTTACTGCAAATCATTAGGCACGTTACACTACAATTCACCAAAGATATCTTAGAAACGGTCAGCCGATTATTTCATTCTTTCGGAATCAGAGTAGCTCAAGAACCAGTAAAATTACTACACAGCGTGTTGTGTAAACCCTGGAATCCATTACCAGAAGAAGACAGAACAAATAGAATCTACAAAATCAATCGTAAAACATGTTCACAGTTGATTGCTCGAAGAATTCATGAACAGTAACCAGCAGTAAAGCGACTTGACGCCGCCTGCTTGGTTTCAATGCATGGAGATGTTCACGACTTTCATTCTCCACTTGGATTATAATGCCATTCTGCCACACTCATCAGACGATCGATACAACAGGCCACAGACCAAGCACATACTGCGAAATAGAATACTCATCATATGTTTACGCCACCACACTTTTGCTTGCTTTATTTTCAATGATAAACAGATGCCGGTTGGACTCTTTTAAAACGGTGGGTTGTAGATAAGTGTTGGCAACTACCTGGAAATCTTCAGAAAGAAATTTGATGCTATAGCATAAATAATATTCAGCTTAAGGTAGGAGTTTAAATACTAACCGCTTCAAATGGTTTTACACTAAGTGCTCTTCACTATTGTACCGTCTTCATCACGTCTGAAGCATAAGTGGAGAAAATTCACCTGCTACTTTTTTTCGCATTCAGTTGTGTACGAAATCTTGTGTGCATTGTTGAAATGCTGAATTAGCCTCCTTGTCTGTTGAACGCCTTCAGAGAGTACAAAGGTATCATCAACATATCTTAAATAAAACACCGATTTCATCGATTAGAATAGTGTTTTCCAAGCGTAACATGAAAATATCCGCCACTACTGGTCTCAGTAGACTTCTCGTAGCCATACCACCAACCTGCTGATATATGGCGCCTTTGAATTGGAACTAAACATCTTTACTGCACAAAAGCATGAAACTTACGTTTAAGATGTCGCTGTCAATTGTAATGACTGTTGTTATGACAGTGAAAAGCTCTCTGTCAATGGTTTGTTCTCTTGTCTTGTCTTTGCGTGTCGATGGTATTTTGGTGGTGGTGTCTGACATCCTAATTTGCATCAGAGTCGATTCGTTTGCGCATTACGTTCGTATCTTTCATTGTCTGCTAGGCTCGTATCGCTCATAGAGTGTTAGGTCATACTACCATTATACCAATTTGTCTTTTGGCTGCATAAATCAGCACAATTACCTTCAAGCATCATATGTTAGTACGCCTTTCCTTATTCATGAAGAAAAATGACATTTCCCACCTTTTTAATATCTATTAATAAAGCAAAACATGGATTAAGTAGTCTGATGTTCTGCTCTAAAATGCAAAAAATCTACTCGCTTTTATATGTTTTGGAATTATCTAACAATGTGATCTGCAACAACATGCTGTTGATATCTTTCACTAATTCCGCTGATGAAGAAGCCTTGTCTTATTGTCTGTGAGTACCTGAGTTATGTAGGGTCTAGGTGTGTTATGTGAAGTTGGAGATCAAGTTATACTGAGAGGTAAAATAATGGCCATTTACCGCCAACTTGGTCTGACTGTGAGCAATCGGGTCCATTCTCCAACAACCAAAAGAATAACAATTAAGTTTAGGCAGGTTTTCTCTTCGGTGATTCGGAAACCACAAATAATAGTATAAAGAAAACAATATAATTTCACTGAAAATTTAAAGAAAAAGTTAAGAAATCATGTTAGAAAACAAACTGAAAAAATTGCGAATCAAAATATGAACTCAAAAACCATCCCACCATTACACTTAAGAAGTTACCAATGTAAAAAAACTGAACTCGTACAAACTAACAGAAAATAATCTTATTTCATTAAAAATAACATGGGAAAAAAATAGCTAAATAATTGTATTCACTTTTTATTATGTATATGAACGATCTCTACAACTATTTTTTGACCATTCATCTACATTTGTATACCAATGAGTCCCTTGTAAGTTTTCAGCTTCATGTGCCAGCATACATAAACGACAGTCAGTATACGTGTTGAAGTTAAATGTTCCCTGACCATGCCAACTAAAGTATTCATTGTAGGCTGATGTATTTCTATTCAGATAGTGTAGATAGTCTGCTAATTGTTTAATAGAATTAAAATCATCCACATGAATGAAAGAATTCAGCGGAGCCACTCTTAGGTAGTCGGATTTTTTAGCTCCCATTGCAATCGGAATAACAAGATTACTAAAAATGAACAAAAAATTTATGAATTATTATAGTTCTCTCGAAAAACGTAGGTAATGCAGTCTAAAATTTCAATGTATATCGGTAAGCTCAAAATGCCAGTTTGGTTCATCTTCTTGACCCTTTAAGAATAAGGCATTTTATGAAGCAGAAATATTTTGGCAAACAGCTAGGTAGGAATCAAACTGTTACAAATTTTCAACTTATGTTTAGATACTATAATGAGAGTAGATGTAATTGGATCTAAAAACAACAACAGTATGATAAGAGATGAAGATTTTCCCGCTTTGAAAAGTTTGCCTTCTGAAACTAGCCATAAATTTTCTTTTTACTTCAGGTATTCTACACATCACATTTAATAGACAGCATGCATGGTAATACGGTCCTTGATTGTCTATGTCATAGTTCTGAACCTTAGGAGGACTAACTTCTTAAAGGTTTTTGTCCTTATTTTATTATTTTTCCCTTGGGTTCCTAGTGGAACATACGGCTTCAGTAGCACATAGCTATTCCACTCTCTTCTTTGCAGTTTATTCAACCTGGCGCCATGGATGCCCACAAGCTCTCATTTCTCCCTCACACCATCTCCTCCATGTCACCCTCCACGAGGTCCTTCATCTCATCCTTTCCCATTTGGATTCTACTCGATGGCCTGGTCTGGCCTAACGCGTGATGTCCCCAATCAGCTTCCTCAGTGGATGCCCAATCCATCTTCACTTTCTTCTGCATATCTGTTGGGCGACAGGTTCTCGGTTGGTTCTCCCCCAGGCCAGAGTTTCTTGCTGTTCATTCTTATTATTCTGGCCAACCATCTGATCTTCAGTGTCAGTATGGAGTGAGCGTAGGCAGCAGCTGTTCATGTATGATGTCTGTGGTTTGTTGGAAGTGCTTCTCGTGACGCGCCAAGTCTCTCAACCATCACATAGAAGCACTGACTTGACTGACATTAGTGTTGAAAACCCGGATCTTGTTCACGCTTCTTGCTGAGTGCAATAGATTTCCACACTGATTTCAGAATAATGAAAGCCTGCCTCGCTTTTCCGATGCTGGTTTTGACATCCCCATCTGTACCACCACCTGTAGTTTAAAGGATACTGCCTGCCTAGGTATTTGTAGGTGAAAGAGACTACTTCGTTTAGGCTTCTCCAGTTAGTGGTGACTGGTATCTCTTTTCGTTGATACTGTTGTTGGTTGGGTATCTTCATCACCTCTGTCTTCTCTACATTTACCTGAAGGAAGTCCTATCTTCACTACCTCTTCTGTCAACATGTTGGTTTTTGCCTGTAGACCTTTGAGTTTGTGAAACACTAGACATGAGGTATCATAGGCGAAATCCAAATTTTCTGGGGTCTTTTCATCGGTCCAGCGTATGCCCGTCTTCTCGCTCCTCACAGTTTGTTGCATGATGCAGTCCAGTCGACCACAATCAGGCAGATGATCTGTGACAGTAGGCAGCCTTAGTGAATTCTAAATGTTTTGTGCACTGAAAGTTTGAGTTATTTTAGGTGGGAAGTAAAATTAAAAATGCCATGTAAACAGTAACAGTAGGAACTTAAGAGAAGGTTGAAATTCGGTTTGTGATATCCTGACAACAGTTATTCGATAAATTTCAACTGATCACGTCCGATGTTACAGCTATCATTATCAACCACAAAATAACTTATTTGGGTGCGAATTTGTGAATTCGGTAGAGATGTTTTACGTCCCCAATTGGTTGAAACTAGCTAGCATGCCTCCACAAATGGAGGACGTAAGTCATGATATAATTTCCTGCACAAAAACAAGACATTTACTCCGTGTTCCTGCAATTAGACTATAAATAATTGTATGACAATGTCTATTGTAAATAATATTTGTAAAAGCAGACAGAAACATATATCAGAATGAAGAAGAAGCACCTACTTTAATGCATTTAAAAAAAACTTCTCAGTAATATAATCTTGGCAAATACTGTTTTCAAAACTCAGGTAGAATTTGTAGTCCTTTCTCAGCATTTCAAAGCATTCCGCGTCGTGACGTTCACAATGAAGTGTCCCACATTCACCGTATATGTCAACCTGTTTGTAACAATGCAACATACAAGATTAAGTTGACCTTAGATCATTTGGCACAATATTAAAAGAGAATGAAACATTTTTATATTTTCATCATTTGATGAAGTTTGTTTGTATTTCTGTACTGTTTTCTTTTCAGTGTTTCAATAGCGCTAAGAGAACACTAACAGTTGACATAAACAATCAAGGTAAACCCTAAGTGAAGTGTTTGACCGGTTGTTTGTTACAAACAATGTGTCTGAAAAGTCTTCATCACATTCTGTGTTTCCTACAAGTTTAGGTTTGCATGCTGTAAATGGGAATGGTGCAGAGCTAGATAGTATAAATCCACTTAAGACATCTTTAATCCTCATCAGTACTTTACCAACGAATGAACTAGTATGTTTATTAATATTCCTGGTTCCATGGTGACGATATCACGGTATCCATGAGCCCGTCAAACTGTGAAGTTCCTGTTCTGTTGTCTTGTGACTCACCTCTGTGGAAACCTGAGCTTACATCTCTGACTGACAGTACTTCAGTCCCACGAAACAGTTCTTACATAGTGCTCATTAGTGACTAGCTTCAAGGGGTGATTCCTGAATTTCCAATGAGAAGTCGTGACCGGTGGGGCTAACCTGCTGGACGTGAGGACAAATACTCAGCAGTGACATTCGTTACTGGTCGCGCTATATCATGAACTGACAGGAGTTTGAAATATGGACCACTGAATTTCGACTCAGCGGCTCAGGGGTAACGTGCTTACCACGGAACGTGAAGGTGTTGGGTTCGATCCCTGGGGGTGTTGGATCTTAAGTGCGCACTCTCATGTTTCCAATGTTCGTTTAACTAGTGTCAGTCCATGATGGATACCGACGCTGGATAGTGTATTCATTGCCAGATACTCCGAAACATTTGAAAAAAGGAATGTACACATGTTTCAGAGGAATTCAAGAAAAAAATCCAGTCTTTTAAGGAGATCTGTGACAATATATCCTTGGACTGAGTACTCTACTTGTCAAGCATTACAGCAAGAATGTTTGATCCATAAACTTGCCAGCTGAAACAGATATTGGGATATTAAGATGATGGATAATGACTGCAGTGGAATCCAAGGCACCCGTTTCCTCCTACTTGGGATTCATTGGCTGGATGCAACTGCCTGTCACTGAGCGATGTTGTCCCCGCTGAGACTCTATCCCGGGACCGATCGCTTCAAACGCCAAAGCGTTACTCACTAGGCCAGTGGGTCACGATGGAAACTTCTTGTGCGACGGGTATAGTTTTAGTGTTGTTGCTTATATTAACCCGTGATTGATTACTATAAAACCGAAACACATGCGATATCGAGGCCTCCGTGAAGAATCGCACATGCTGATAAAGACCGATAAATTTGGTTCAGTCAGCGACAGGATAATACATGGAACGACACAGAAATATTTAGATGCCCAAGTTTAGTTTGAACAAAGGGTTTAGCAAGTATGGAATTCGTCAGTTCTAATTGAATCATATCCTATACTAAGTGTGAAAGACCGAAATATCAACGTAAATTGACACTTTGTCCAACACACTTAACTGCACAGATGTTAGTTAATTGCAAACAGTCAGCAGGAATCTCTGGACCTTAGTTTCGCGCTTGTCGGCACTCATCGGTAAGGCGTATCTGAGGCTTAGAGCGAACTGGTTTCCTCTCTGCAATTCATGAAGCTCACTGGGAACTTTCCTGACCGCAACATTAGGTGAAGTGAGTTTTAATCTCAGTGACTACATCACTTTCTTCAAGGTTAGGGATACGTCTTGCCCAAGTCTGCCAGCAACCAAGAAATCTAGGTCAGACAGTGCTTCCTGTTGATTACTTCCAACCAACTAACATCTGTCGAAGTGCACAGTGATGGTAACCTACCTTGCTTGGTGGCCACAATGTGAAATGACCGACAAAATTTGGTAAGCAGCCGGAACTAGATAACATGAAACTGGTTAACCTCTAGTGACCATTCAATGTACAATTATATGTCTTCGATATCGCAAATATAAAACCATTATGGTAATGATGATGATTATTGACATTGAATAAGCCTACACGTACAACTTACTTATTATCAATCAGACTACTAAACAACTGTCTTCTTAACATTCTCAATACGATCCAAAATTAAGTTTATTGAAAAATGGAATTAGTTTTATTTTCATAATTCCTACTTTAGGGTTCAAATCTTTGTGCGAAAGAAAAATAGTTTTAGGATAATTCATCATGGAGATAAACACTCCGTAATGTAGATCGAGATTGGTGACTCAAAGACATTATTCCAAGAGAACATACATGCACTTCTAACTGATTTTGTTTTGAATAAAGAAATTAATAAATAATGATCAGCCATCTGTTTGGTTTACTTGTATGAAAGTACCCGATAATAATAATTATCATGGTAATGCAACCAATGGTTCGTAAGAGAATTCAGGTTACTCGTTTTGAACTTTTTAGGACTGATCAGCTGGATATATCCACCTCTCAGTGAGCGATGTCGTTTCCATTGAGATTTAAACTCATTAGCCAAAGCTTCAAACAATAAAGCGTTATCCATCAGGCCACCAAGATTAGTGAACTATCTCTTACACAACGGATTTTACCACCAGCCACTAAGCAAATCACAATACAATGGAAGTTTAGGCAGTATCGAGGAGCCAGAATAGGAACCAGTCTGCCACTAGAGATTGAGGGATTTGACCCAGTATAACACCAAGAAATTATAGGCCTTAATAAACAAGGAACTATTAGGTTAGATATATATAGATTTCACGTTGAGATTCACCATGGACCGACATCAACTGGCGGAACATCTGAAAACTGTTTCGTCTTAGTATGGGACTCCTCAGTGGTGCAGACCCATGATCCCACACCCGCAGGAATCTAACCCAATGCCTTCAGGTTCCGTGGTCAGCACATCACCATTCAGCAACTGAGTCGCAATCATGTGGTCTATATTTCGATTCTTGGTGGGGTCACTAGGGTGCACATTATCCTTATCTCATCACTATACCAAATCTCACCATTCTTCTCATTCTCCCTTCCTCTCTTTTAATACTTTGTATTCCCTTTGACTGAGTTTTCTTTTCTTCATCTTCCACTTCACTGCCTTTTTACTTGATGTACTGATATGAGCTATGACAACTCGGACCGTTACGCAGTAATGGCTGGTCCTACGTTGATGGTGACGACTACTGAGGAGTCCCATAATAGGACAAAATAGCTGACCAGTCCTCCCAGGTTTTCAATGTTTTGTTCTATTGATGTCACTTCATGATGAATATCAACCTGAGATCAATTGATGAATCTCCACAAACCTCAAGAGTGAAATATATGGATTTTCTATTGTGCTTAGGCCATATATTGCTTCAATGAGAAACCTAACGATATTAGTACAACTTGTTTTGAGATTTTCCGTGCTTATTTCGTAGTTTTATGCACTAATATGTTGCATGTGTAATCTTTGTGCAAGATATAATCTTATAATTTCATGAGTTTTCTTTTTCTCTTGAAGTCAACAAAGTAAGAATCAGTCGATTTTAAACGAGTGGTTAAATGACATTGTGTTCGCTACGAGGAGTGACAGTCTCCGACTCAAGTCCTAAAGGAGTAGTGGGTGTACAGTGTGAGCAGAACCCAACTATAATAACATAAATATTTATTGCTCTCAGATTTTTAGTTTTTCATCAAGATATGCATTTTTTACAATGGAAACTTCCTTACAAAGGAAGGAAAATGTCTAAGCAACAGCAATTTTTATCGGTCAAGATCTTACTTGAATATACTTGCTCAACACTTCGGCATATTTCATTCTTGGACTGCTGGTGACACAATTGCTGACAAACCAAGCAACCATTTTAGTTTTCCCAGCAGCATAGTCTTGATACGGTTTAGATAATTTATTGAAATCTTTCGGCTCAACATCTTCATATGATACATATTTATAATAAGGTGTAACTAAAGTTGCATCCACATTGTATGTGGCGGTGAAATTAATCTACAATTCAGTTAAACAATAAAGAGTGGTGTAAATACTTATATCAAAGGTATTGATTACTGAAACTAATTTTCCAGAGGGAATAATGATGGAATACATATTGTGACCATTGGATTTAAAAGTACTGCCTAGAAGCTGCTCACTTCCTTCAGACCTCTACATAAAATTGCCGTCTACTGCTCACTAGTGACATGCATCGCGATAAATCTTCTGAAATTCTAATGAAAGATGTCACCTATGACGTCTACCAAATCCTATGTCAGGGTAAAAGTTCGCCGATGGCACTGAATGATGTAAGTTGGCAGAAGTTTGAGAATCTGGACCACTGGATTCCAACCGAGTGGCTAAATCGTAGCATGCCCCTCTCTATGAGACCTGAATATCATGGGTTCGATCTCTGATAAGATCGTGGCTGCAGACAACTGTTTATTGGAGAAATCCCATGTCAGTTAAAATATTTAGTAAAAGATGGTTGAACAAGTGAATTCACTATTCTTTTTATAGTTAAAATGCTTTTTTCTGTCAATACTTCATTGAAAGACCAGTTGATAATATGCATAGTTAGGGAGAATACACGTCCAAATCATTTTCCATGGGAAGAAATTTACAGAAGTAATGATATCTTACATAATTCTCCGTCATCCCATACCACTTTCAAAATCATCAAGATCAACATAGGGCCAGGTATTACTGCATAAAGATCAAAGTTGCCACATCTAATATCAGTGCATCAGGTAACAAGTCAGCAAAATAAACGATAAAGAAGGAACGAAAGATCAGACGAAGGAAAACGAAAGTAATAAAAAGAGAGAGGAGGAATGAGATAATCATGTGATTAAGTGTAGCGGGTAAGATGATGATAATGTTTGCATACATCTGTACCACTGACATTGGTTCTTAGCGATATCACCAACCACTTGTTTCTGTTGTCCCGCTGACTGAAACTGGCTAGTCTGTATCGCCCTATATGGCTCAAACGGACAGTCAAGTACTTCGTGCATTAGTGTTATGTTGTAATCTGGCCGCCATGAGCTTTATTCAGCCTGAACCTACTACCGTCAACATTATGCATCTAGGCGGATGGTGGATGGCATACGTACCATATGTCCCGGCCGTAGCTGTCGATGAAAATTCACAACCTTAACTATTGTCCTACCTCTCCACCCTAAACCGTGCAGAGATTTCGTCTCCCATTAGGTCGCCATAGCTGACTTGACTTTCCAGATCAGGGAAGCGTTTAACGCACTCAACCACTTCACTCCCTATTGTTAATTGGGATACAGTTGAATACCAGTCCTGGTGCAACGAAATTCATTTGATTAATGAGAAATGCATCCTAAAATTCTCAAATTGCCACTCAAGGTGTCCAGAAAAATCTCTATTTTGTCAGCGTCTTCATATAACAAGACTATGTTATCTGCATATTCTAAGTCTGCCAAAAATTCACTCAGAAAGAAAAGAACAGAGTTATTACTTTGCTACACGCCTGACAATCCTAGTTCCAAATGTTGTAAATTTATGAGAAGTATAACTAACATGGTCATTGGGCTGAGAAATGAAAGCAATTTAATTTTCAACAACAGAGGAATTGTAATTGAAAGCCGATGAGTTTAGATTGGAGAATGTGTATACTGTTTAAGGCTTACTAAAGATCATTTTTCTCATCAGATGCTTCACAATATAACAAAGTATTTTTGAGATGAATGGATATTTTTTAATTTAGAAGTGGTATTCATCATGGAATGACATCAGTTGGGGGAACCGTTGAAAATCCGGGAGCACTGGACAACTGTTTCGACCTAGTATAGGACTGACTCCTCAGCAGTACGCACGCACCCGCTACTTCTAAATATAACAAAGGTTGCTTTTGATGGAAACTCAAATCCGCTCTCATTTTAACCCCCTGTTTCAAGAAATTGGGGTCACTTAGACTCTTGTTAAGGAAACTAACGGGTTTGAAACTTATGTATCCATTCTACATCCATTGGTTTTAAACAGTAATCGGCAAGAAGCCACTTCCCAGAGTGAAAAGGAGCTGAAGTTTTCCCGGTTTATTCAGAATTCATTCAAAGCATAAACCGAAGTTAATCTGAGTATATTTTAAGACATCAACGGTGAGTTTTCAACAAATTTCTTTTCATGACAACAGATATATAGCTCTTTATCTGGAAGCCTGTAAGATACAACAAATGGTTGTTTCTGTAACGGACATCTTATGTACCAATGGATTATTATTGAATGATAGTGAAAGCCTTTTAGAAATACCAGTGTAAATGTGTTCTACTCAATATACTCGCATAAAATATAATGAATAACACTGAAATAAAAGTCATATAGTTATATACATAAACTGTGATCAAGATTTGACCGAAGTCTATTGTAAATATTAGGCAATTGCTAAAAGTTTGATATTAGATACAGTTTATATTTATGTAAGTCCTAATATGCTTGGAATGGAATAATTCCAACTTTTTTTTACATGGAAGCCTGGTGCAAGCTTCTTCAGAGAAATGATCAAAACGAAAAGCAGTAACTAGACAAAGAGGACTGGATGAGGAGGTTAGGCACAAGTCTCAGAATTCATTTATGTATCTTTGATATTTTAATTTATGATTACTTCCCTGAAGAAGGTCGGACTAGACTACATGCACAAGGCTGGATATATTTTATTTTAAACACGTTACGACTTACATAAATATAAATTATATTTGATGTCATCCAGTTATTTGAGATATTTTCAATTGAGAAGGAAAGGTTCTTTTGAACACTTATAACTAGTTGAATGTACTAAAGGTTAGATAAAGTACTTTCATCTAGCGACCTTTTTGAACCTTGGGCTGCCAAAATTTTTCACTGAACATATACATAAAAATTCTTTGCTTTCAATATGTTTTAATCATATAACTATGTCTTCTTAGCATAATATGAACTCTTGCATAGTTTTAAAATGTTCTGACCTAGTCATTTGTCGATTGGATAGAAAAACGAAGGAAAAAACTTGAAGTTTGATGGAAATAGACTCTTTGTTGTGCAAAAAATTCTTCATATTTCCATTCATCTGACGCTTGGCTGAATGAACCTTCACCATCAAACTTACTTTCGATTTTCTGTACACACTCCATTCTAGATCGGAGGCTAATCCAACATCAGCTGATTGTTCAGCATTACTGCCTTTAAAAGTGTATTTATTAACGTCACCCTGATGTAGTAGTCATTCCGTTCTAATATATTGTTCTGGTAATCGACTTGCTGAGAATTTCATACTGTATAAAATATATTGTTTGGAATAAAGAGATTAATTTTTTTTAAGTATAAGAAACTGGTAGTCACTGATTTACTAGAAATTAACTACAATTCAATAAAAAGCATACAAAAATATCTACTTACCTGATCCTTCAGTAGTATGAAGTTAGAATGTTTCGGGGATTCAATACGATAAATCAGCCATAACTGATTTTTTGGCCTGACCGATTCGGTGACAGGTGTTCCACCTTCAAAAACAACTAAATGTGCCTTCTCCAATCCACTGTAGCCATTGATAATATCACATTCATGTACTGGACAAATTGATATGTTTCGAAGTGAAGGACCACTTTTATGATAGAACTGAATACGCTTCCTCTGAACTTTTCCACTTTTACGAGCCTGAAAAAAAAATTAATGATAGAGATTTTTGTTATACTCATTACAGTATTTCTTTCAGAGACGGTGTTAAGAATTTGATGAATACATACTGTCAGTTTCATCGCATAAGATTTCGCTAGTTTAGGTGATATATTTTTTGGACGGAATTAACAAATTCAAAAAAGCTACTGGTATTCTGTCATTGGGACTGGGAGTGACATTCAGAGAATAAATATCTTGCATTTTTTTTTATATGGGAAACGTTATAAGTAGGAGAACAAAGGTCTACGGAAGGATTTTGATAAAATCTTTTCTCCTTTTAGGCATGAAATCATTTATTCAGCTACCGTTATTGAAGACACTCAATTAGTAATGTTATACGCTAGTTAAATATTCCAGATTAAAGGTGTTCTTAACCAGAACAAGGCATGTATCAGCGAAGAAGAAATATTTTTTTTCTCAACAACTTCATTATCAAGCTGTACAGTAGTATTTATACTCGGTGAAGTGACAGATAATTGCACTGAAAACAGTTGATTAGTCAATATGCAAAATATACAATCGGTGTAGTTGGTGGTATTTGTTCAAGTGGAAGAGACAGAGGATGGGTTATTGAAAAAGGAGGAACGAATTGATAACAAGTGATGAGATAAGAGACATGTGTTGTTAAAGAATTGTAAAATGGTGATAATTAAGCTGAAACGTGTAAAATAGGTCAATGAATAAGGAATGAATTGAAATTAAAAAGTGAAATATGGGTCAAATGTTGTTAATACAGTGAAAATTGGTGGTAATGATGATAATAGAAGAGAATTATACCAAAGCGAACTGAAATTGACAAAACCAACAAAATGAATTGTTAAGGTCAATGTAGAGAAAGTGGTTTCACAAGACGTTTTTGCGCACAAAGTTTCGGTTTTTGTTCATATATAGCCAATACTTCAGCTATACATAACTGGTGGAAACGTAAACCTTTGGTTTAACTTTGTAAATAATTTTAAAGGATTAATCTTGAGGTGCTGAATTTTCCAATTCAACAGGGTATTCACATATGGATGAAGTCGTTTTCCTTTGTTCGCCTCTGGTGAGCCAAACCAGGTAGTGTTCAGTAACACGTTTTCGGAGGGCCCGCTTACAACGTCTAATATAGTCAGCTCCACAGAAGCATGTGAACTTGTAGATACCTATAGATGTAGACATAAGTAGAAGCCTACCCTTCACGCATTGACGAATCAGACGGCGGCTGGAGAATAATAATCTAAGTCTAGCAGCATAGAAACTACTATTGATACATCTTGACAGACGATTTTTCAGCAATTCCACTGTGGAGTCTCCTTTGAATTCCAGATTCATGGTTAAAATTTTTTTAGGGACTGTGATGGGATGGGGAGTGGTTCGTTTCTTCAGATTCTTATCAATTAATCTTATATGGTATCCGTTATTAGATATTATTATTCTAGGATGATGTCATAGAAAAGAAATATTTCTTCACTGATGCATGCCTTGTTCTTGTCAGTAAATAAATGGGTATATTTCTTGAGTTAAAAGTGTTTTACTAGGAACATCAAACTTAATGAACTAAAATATTTGTCTCTGAAAATATTGAGGAATAAGCTAGGAGAGTATGGCCTATTTAATTATTCACGAAATCATTATTTTTATTACGTCACACTGGCAAGAAGAACATATTTATCTCTTGAATGTACAGAAGAAATGCACACATCCTTATGCGTTGTGCACATCGACTGGTATCCTTCAAATCTATCCACTCTGTCGATCGCTCGTCAGTTTCGTCATAGATGCTCCCATCTTCCAACATCACAGGGACTGGTCTAATCACTGGAGAATCCTTGGTAGAAAATTAAATAATGTTACGAGCTTTGTTACAACGTTCTTACAAATGAGATGCATTGAATAAATCATTACCAACAACAAACGTGTCGTTGACATTACTTCACCTAGTGCATTTATATGTACTGTGTTTTCTAGATTGGCGATGAAGATATCGACCAATGTGAGACCTTGTGAGCTCACCACAACTACCCTATCTGCTTGTTGGTAGAGTTAATTATTAGATAGGAAATGTACTTATGTAGAAGGCACTTGGAATGTGTTACTGGCATGGGGGAAAGATTTGATTGATGGCATATGATATTTATGGTTTATTGAAGGGATAAGTTTGTGAATAGAGAAGCTATATCAAATGATAATATGAACTTCGTGGAAACATCAAAGTTTTTCATTTTCTCGACAAATTGAATGGAGTCTTCAAAAATTTATGCAAACGGTTGTTAGCGAACTGGTTCATATTTCTCAGTCAATTAACGTACCATTTTAGTAATGAGGTGAATTGATCATGGATAGATTAAGTTAGAGTTGGATAATTTGCTTATGTCTCATTGGTAATCCATACGGATAAGACAGACAAGAACCTTAAGGGTTGAGATCACTGTGTGCAGAACTGTCACTCAGTTTTTTTATCCCAAGTTCTTTCAATATCTTTTTGATTTACCTTTGTGCTGCATCAGTCAAATCTTTCTGGTAATTAAGAATTTTGAATTTAAGTGGTTCTCGAAGAATCAGGTACATCTGAACCACATAATCGCTGTCCCTTATTACAACTCCCTAACCTTTATCTGGTTTCACTACTACTCTTTGATCATCATCCTTTAGATTTTTCAACGCTGCCTAGTATTCCTTTGACAAAATTCTAGACTCTGGAGCTAGTGAAGAAAGATACCGAACTGAAGGATCACGTAATCTAGCTTCGAACTAACCTTAGCCATCCTTACTTATTGCATTTAGATCTGCCAGTAAGTTGATAACACTCTTAAACTGAGCCTCTATATCACTTTGTCAGTGAATTTTTTTAGAACATGAAACTCAAATTCCATTGACATTGTTCCCGATTCAATTTGATCCAGGTTCACACCTGACAGGGTGTGAACGGTTTGGGTGAAATGTTCTGGAAAGTCTCGATGCGGATGCTTTTCTGTTAAAGTCTCTGACAAAGTTCACATTTTCTCAACTTTGTCAATTCACCATATAGCACGACCACTACTCAGTACCATCACTGTGTATCTCCCTTCTTATCCAACCTAGCTGACCCTTCAAGTCTTCCTATTAGAAATTCGGAAAACGTATCTCAAAGCCAGTCCTTACTAATCGCTAGTGTCAGTTTGTAATGGAGACTAATTTAGTCGTTATTAATTATGATTCCGCCCAGGAGAATTCTACAATCATATTATGGTGCTGAGTGAAAGTAAGGTGGTAAGGAACTGTCTATTGGCACCACTTTTTGTAGTAACTGAGAATGAATGATGAATATTCTTTGTCATTCAGCCTTTTTCTCAGTTCTACAGCCTTTGAGTTTTTGTGTCGATTAGTTTTGGAGACGAAAAATCATGTTGCGATTAGGTTATCAGCACCTTCTTTTCTAATAAACCTTAAAAATAACAGTGAAAGTTGTAGAAATTGATTATTGTTGCTAATTACATCGATTTCGATCATTTTTTTCATAAATAACGTAGAAAACAAAAACGAAATTAGGTCATTTGGAAAAAAACAGCTACTGAAAGTGTTCTCATTAGAGTAATGAATAGCTTATTGTCATTCTGATGAAAATATTTCCTTAAAAATCGGTACTGTCTTCGTATCATTTACAAAGATAAACAATTTAAAGGATAAATGAATAGTTGATCTTGCTGTTACTTTCATCTGTCTTTTGCAGTGACTAGGCATGTAGAACATATGTTCCAGCCGTTTCAGCTGATGAACGTTCGCAGCCACATGAACTGTCCTACCTCTCCACCCTAAACCCCTACACCTAAAATTCTGCCTTACTCACGTGACAACACCACGAAACACCACCTATCCTACGAAACACATAGTAGACAAACACCAGAAACATTCGCATGTCCTCCACTTCCACTACACATATTTCACAGCCGTAGAGTAGAACAGATCGAACTTCAGCACAGTACAGTCGAACCATAATAGGAAATCGGGTATGGCGATGGTGCCACATTGTGTCGTAAATTGGCGAAAGCCAACCAAGCCTACTTTATCCGTGCAGAGGCTTCGTCAGCGACTAACCTAGAATGGCTGACTCAGCTCCCCACGTAAGTAAAGGGTTCAGTACAACTGACCCCTCTACTCTCAGCTGTTAGCGGAGACCCCAGTAAATATAAGTGCTGAAGTAATCATTTGCATTTGGTTGGCAAGAAATGTATCCCAAACATTCTCAACTTGTTACTCAATATGTCCAGCAGTCTCCATATCTCGTTGGCGTCTTCAGCTAGCCCAACCATATCATCTGGGTTCCTTTCGATCTATCAAGCATCAGAACACGATATATAGGCAAATAATACTGTTTCCAACCAGATCCTCTTCAGGCCTTACTTTAATACAAATAACTTAACATATTAAAAATTGAATCAACCATGGAGATTTGTCGGTTCATGTGATTTTTCAAAATAACGATGGTGATAATAATACAAATAATAATAATGAAGATGAAGGTGATAACGTCGGCTAAAGCACATGCACTATAGATGGTAATGATAATAACAACCAGGAAAGCGGCATGAAAATATAAACACTCCGATAATAAGAGTGGGTCAAAAGCTTGTGAAAATAAAAGTTACGTATTACTGAAGGACGAGGTAAGTGGATAATAAAGTTTAGACGAATACAGTGAGTATTTTTGAGATGAATGGGAATTTCTAATTTAGAGGTAGTATTCATCATGGACTGACATTCAGTTGGGAAACTATTGGAAACCTGGGAGCACTGGATAGCTGTTTCTTCTTGGTATGGGACTCATCGACAGTACGCACCCACGACCCGGCTAGGGATCGGACTCAGGACGTTCAGATTTCACGGCGAGTGCGTTAACCATTCTGCCACTGGGTCGGTTTTCAGCGGTTCACAATTTCCAACTTCTGTCAATTCACAACATAGTGCGACTATCACCCAAGTGACATGCTTCTAGATGGATATCACGAAGCTCTAATGAGAAG